CAGAGTTGGCAGGGACCTTAAGGATGAACTAGGTCAGTATTTTTTGTTTTAGTTTTTTTGAAATGGGATCTTGTTCTGTTACCCTGGCTGGAGTGGCATCATCACAGCTCACTGCTGCCTCAACCTTCTGGGTTCAAGTGATCCTCCCACTTCAGCCTACTGAGTAGCTGGAACTGTAGGTGTGCACCACCATGCTTGGCTAATTTTTTTAAATTAATTAATTTTTTTTGAGATGGAGTCTCACTTTGTAACCCAGGCTGGAGTTCAGTGGCATGATCTCAGCTCACTACAGGTTTTGCTTTCAGGTTCAAGCAATTCTCCTGCTCAACCTCCTGAGTAGCTGGGATTATAGGCATCCACCACCATGCCCGGCTAATTTTTGTATTTTTAGCAGAGATGGGGTTTCACCATTAGTTGGCCAGCGGTGGTCCGTGAATCCTGACCTCAGGTGATCTGCCCACCTGGCCTCCAAAGTGCTGGGATTATAGTCGCGTAGAGCACAATGCCTGGCCAAAATTTCTAACTTAAGAGCATGAGATTGCACTATTGGCCTAGGCCTGGTCTCAGAACTTCTGGCCTTAAAAGCCTGTTCCTGCTTTGGACCACTCTCCAAAGTCCTGGGATATAGCGCCTGAGCCAGGGTGATGCCATTCGCACCACCTTCCATTTATATCTTTTTGAAAACTACCTGACCTGAAGCGAAAATAACATGTTGGTTTCTTTTTTTTTGTTTTTTTGTGTTTTAGATGGAGTCATTTCTTCTCCCGATGGGGGTCAGTGATGCAATCTCAGCTCCACTGAACCTCTGCCGTCGTGGTCACCCAATCATGCCACCTCAGCTCCCAAGTGAGCTGGACCGGCTAATTTTTTGTCCTCTATTTTTAGTAGAGACAGGGTTCGCCATGTTGGCCAGAGCTGGTCTCGAACTCCGTGACTCAAGTGATCCCACCCGCCTCGGTCCTGCCAAGAAGCTGGGATTATAGTGTGAGGCCACCGTGCTTGGCCCAAAAACCTTTTAAAAACGTGCTATTTTGTTTGGAACGCCTGTTCGATCCCTAAATTATCTTCTCAGGAGTTTCCTTTCTGATATTCAAAATGTAATTTGGAAATCACTGATGCACTTTGAATGATGCTCCTTGTACAGATGGGAAACCAAAGCTGGTCAAGAAGCAAAGTTGGAGGTCAGAGGCATGTGTCCCTGCCTTCCAATCACTGCACATCAGAATCGTCTCTTGATTTTGCATGTCCCTGCCATCAAAGAGTAAGCAGAAGAAAACATTCAAACCCCCCCCCGCGCCCCCCCGCCCCATTCCGCTTTCCTACTGTCAGCAGCAGCAGCTCAATTCAAAAGGTCCTTGTAAAAGAGAGTAAAATTTTTGTGTTTGTGGTTTTTTGTTTTGTGAGACAGAGTCTGCTGTGTCGCCCAGGCTGGATGCAGTGGCACATCTCAGCTCACTGCACCGGGCACTCCCGGTTCAACTGGATTGCTGCTGCCCTGTAGCCTCCTGGAGTAGCTGAGTACAGCCCCCGTCACCAAGACTGGCTAATTTTTGTATTTTTAGTAGATACGGTTTTCCATGTTCCCAGCTGGTTTGGACCTTCTGAGTTCAGGCAATCTGGCCTGCCTCTGCCTCCAAAATTTGCTATGTACAGGCGTGTAACCATTGCGCCCCAGCAGGAATTCTTCTTCTTTTTTTTTTTTTTTTGAGACAGGATCTATCTCTGTAACCTAGGCTGGAGTGCAGTTGTGCAATCTCAGCTCGCTGCAACCTCCGCCTCCTGGATTCAAGTGATCCTGTCACCTCAGCCTTCAGAGAAGTTGGGATTACAGGCATGAGCCATCATGCCCAGCTGATTTTTGTATTTTTAGTAGAGATGAGGTTTCACCATGTTGGCCAGACTGGTTAGATGCAGGAATTCTTTACTCAAACGGTTTTGGATGGTCATGGATATATTTGTTCTTCCTCTTAAGCATGGTTGAAGGCAATCTCTAGGTACCAGTTCAGCTCTTCCCAGCCGTACTCCCTCTTTCAAATGAGTTATCATATATACTTGCTTTAAATAGGCCAAGACATGAAGATTTGGAGTTATAAAACACAAATCAGTCTTTCAATGCAGTGTTCCTGGGTCTAGCATAGCAAGAAAGCTTAAATCAATTGTGCTGTGTTTGGAAAAAGAATGGAGGAGATGGTCTATATGTCCTCTGTGATAGGAGACACCAGAGGAACCAAGTGATGCTTAAGCTTGAACACAGGGCCCAGTTCTATTCTAGAGTAGAGACAGGCCAGGCATGGTGGCTCATGCCTGTAATTCCAACATTTGGGAGGCTGAGGTGGGAGGATAGTTTGGGCCAGATGTTTGACACCAGCTTGGGCAACATAGTGAGACACCATGTCTTAAAAAAATTACAGGCATGGTGGTGCATGCGTGTAGTCTCAGTTACTTGCGAGGCTGAGATGGAAAGATAACTTGAGCCAAGTCTAAGGCTGCAGTGAGCCTTGGTCCTGCCACTGCTCTCCAGCCTGGGTGACAGAGCAAGACCCTGTCTCAAAAACAAAACAAAAAGAGTAGGGACAGATATATCCCCTGTGAGTGTAACAGCACTAGCCACTCAGACAGTTCTATTATTTTCCCTTGCTTAGAGTTCATGAGCAGAGGTTAAATTTCTGACTGTAATCTGGCTTTCCAAATATGTAGATCATTTCAATTCTTCTTCTTCTTTCTTTCTTTTTTTTTTGAGATGGAGTCTTGCTCTGTCACCTATGCTGGAAGACTGGAGTGCAGGATCTTGGCTCAACCTCCGCCTCCCAGGTTCAAGCGCTTCTCCTGCCTCAGCCTCCCGAGTAGCTGGGACTACAGGTGCATGGCACCACGCTCAGCTAATTTTTGTATTCTTAGTAGAGACAGGGTTTCACCATGTTGGCCAGGATGGTCTCAATCTCTTGAGTTTGTGATCCACCCACCTCAGCCTCCCAAAATGCTGGATTACAGATGTGAGTCACCACACCCAGCCAATTTTCATTTTTGTTTGTTATTATTTATTCTCCATCCCCTATTTTAAAGAAACTAAGTGGGCAATGTGTTCATGCCTGTGGAGAGCAACCTAGGACAGAAGAGAAAAGTGGGGATAAGATCTCAGATCATGTAAGTAGTTTCCTTTTCTTGAGATGGAGTTTCGCTCTTGTTGCCCAGGCTGGAGTGCAATGACGCTACTTCGGTTCACCGCAACCTCCTCCTCCCAGGTTCAAGTGATTCTCCTGCTTCAGCCTCCTGAGTAGTTGGAATTACAGGCATTCCCTACCATGCCTGGCTAAGTTTTGTATTTTTTTGTTTGTTTGCTTGTTTTGTTTTTTGAGATGGAGTCTTGCTCTGTCCTCCAGGCTGGAGTGCGGTGGCGCAGTCTCGGCTCACTGCAAGCTCCGCCTCCTGGGTTCATGCCATTCTGCCTCAGCCTCCTGAGTAGCTGGGACTACAGCTCGGCTAATTTTTTGTATTTTTTAGTGGAGACAGGGTTTCACCGTGTTAGCCAGGATGGTCTCGATCTCCTGACCTCGTGATCTGCCAACCTTGGCCTCCCAAAGTGCTGGGATTACAGGCGTGAACCACCATGCTTGGCCCAAAAACATTTTAAAAACATGCTATTTTTTTTAGTAGAGACAGGGTTTCTTCATGTTGGTCAGGGTGGTCTCAAACTCCTGACCTCAGGTGATCCGCCTGCCTCAGCCTCCCGAAGTGCTGGGATTACAGGCATGAGCCACCGCGCCCGGACATTTTTTTTTTTTGAAATGGAGTTTCGCTTTTGTTGCCCAGGCTGAAGCGCAATGGCGTGATCTTAGCTCACCGCAACCTGTGCCTACCAGGTTCAAGTGATTCTCCTGCCTCAGCCTCCGAGTAGCTGGGATTACAGGCATGCACAACCACGCCTGGCTAATTTTTGTATTTTTAGTAGAGATGGGGTTTACCCATGTTGGTCAGGCTGGTCTTGAACTCCCGACCTCAGGTGATCTGCCCGCCTTGGCCTCCCAAACTGTTGGGATTATAGGCATGAGCCACTGCACCCGGCCATAAGTCCTTTTCAACCAGGGCTAGCTCCTCCTTCAGAAGCAGCCTATTAGAATAGCCAGGAGAGTTTGGGATGTTCTTCAATGTGTGTGACACTTTTCCTAAAGGAATTTGGGGAGTGGACAAGGTTCTTTCTTCCCTACGATGTGTATTTTGTGTGTGTGTGTGTGTGTGTGTGTGTGTGTGTGTGTGTGTGTGTGTGTTTGGAGATGGTGTCTTGCTATGTTGTCCAGGCTGGACTTGAACTCCTGGGCTCAAGCGATCTTCCCGCCTCAGCCCCTTCACCTCCCCAGTAGGTGGGACAACAGGTGTGCACCACTGTGCCTGGCTCCACCCTGTGATATTTTAAAAGAGGGTTGGGGAACTTCGTTGTGCACCTGGATGAGAGCTGCAGGAAGGAGTTGACTCAGATATGAAAGCTCAGAATGTAAATGACCTGCCAGGAAGCTGTTTTGACCTGAAACTGGGCTTAATATGAGTCTCTAGCAAGACTGAATTAATGGAAGACATTTTTTAAACTATAGGGAAGGGAGGGGGAGGGTGGAAAACCCGAGGGAAAGGCAGCTAATATAAGGGAAACTACTTCTCCTAAAAGACATTTCATATAAAACAAATCAAAAACAAAACCAAAAAAAAAAAAAAAAAAAAGGAAAGAAAAAAAGCAAGGACTGCCAAGACTGCCTCTTATTCTTCCAAAAGCTCCAGCTCCTGAATTGTGGATTCTAACCAAGGTGGGTGGAGCAAAGCTTGTACTACAAGGGAATGAAGCCAATGCAAGGGCCCAGAGGTAAGGGAAGCGTTGTCAGAGTCTGGTGGTAAGCTGAATTCTGTGCCTGTTTAAATGGGGTTGTCCTTGTGGTTGTGGCATTTCCCTTCTCAACTTCAACAGACAATCAGCAGCATTACTCAAAAGTGGAGACGCATGGAGGACAGCACAGTTACAAGTGGGCATGAGTTTTTATTCTCAGTGCACAGCAGTATTGGTTTCTGTTCATCAGCAAAAAGCTTTATTGGTTCCAAAAAATTATCCCTTTTAAAACTCCCCTTCTTCTTCTGGTCTCAGTGGAACAACACATTTGAATTTTAGATTTGACAGTTTATAGCATTTTTTTTTCCATAAATACATGCAAAACTTTGTACATAGAGCTTAAATCATATCAAAATGCAAATATAGATTGGGTGCGCTGTTAAGCTGAATTGCAAATTATGGCAACACACACTGGGGTATACATTGCTTTGATATCACCATTTGTTTGTTTATGTCATGCAGACCACAATAGTCAATCTTGTTTTGTTTTTCTTTTTTGTACAAAAATACCAGTGCTTGTTATACTAGTTACTAAAAGAAGAAGAAACTCAAAATTCCTATCTGCGTGCTAATTTGAAAAGAACAACATAGATAGATTTGTTGGCACATATATATGGCATACTCACATATGGCATATATACATATGGGGAGAAAACATGAACCAAAGGCCAATTCAGTTATGGGAGCTCATCTCCTTCCATCTCTCCTAATCAAGAGCAAAGGGAACAGCAGGCCTAACAGCAGGGTTGGGAAGGCAAAAGGACTGGCACTGAACTAAGTGAAAGGGCATCTGGTCTATTCAGAGGAAGAGGTTGGAATGGCTTAACAATAGCAGGCATTTATAAGTGCCCACCCTCACCAATGCAGTGGGGGTGGTCCCTAGATAAGAAAGGTGAGGAAGTCTCTGCATATTGTGATGGTACCACAGGCTGCTTCAATTGTAAGGCAATGAAGCAGGAAAGAAAGGAAGGGATGCATTTAGAGGCTTTTCCGCACAAGCGAGTGTGCCATGTCCCTCTGGGTTTTCAGCAGTGAGGTAACCCATTCAGATTTAACCGTGCTAATTCTCCTCTCTGAAGCTCAAGGGGAAAAAGAAACTCAAACCCTGAAGAACCCACAAGTGTCCAGTGGGATTTCTAGGTGATCTCTCTCTTAACCCCTTTAGGGATAGGAGAGTCATTCCAGAGGACAGATGATACTATGGGAGGGACCTAGCTTTAAGACTGTCACTCAGAGCTAGAACCAGCCATTGTTTTATCATTTAGAATTCTGTCCCCATTTAATATATTGCACAAAATCTTTCTAGGGGAGAAAAGCCATCATAAATAAGATACTTGCACAAAAACTCACTAATGGAAAACCCCAGGGGGAACCGGAAATGAAAACTATGAAAAATGCAAACCCCAAATCAGAGTATCCTTACAGACCAGGAGAGATTCGTGTCTTTGGTACCACTCTGACAGCTATTCTTCAAGAAACACAAATCCAACGGAGGCCCCTAATCCTCATGACAAGTCAGGAAAGAGTCTGTCTATCCGTCTGCGTGGGGAGGGGGGCGCAGTGGGGAGGATTCCTTTCCTAACAGCTGTGTCCCTTGCTGGGTGTTTTCCTGACTATCCACGGTTTACTACCCGTTTTTCTAGGTTTATTAAGAGAGGAAGCTAGGATGATACGTTCTCCTTCTCCCCATCAGACCCTTTTCAAATCCGAAGCACCATTTTGGGGAAAAGGGTTATTAACTTATGCCGTATTTACCCACTGCCAGTTGGATCAGTGAAACTGAATAGAAAAAACTTATATAAAAAACATATGCACATAGACACTTAAACTTACTTAATTCCATTATCAACAAAATTTATATTAAAAAAGTCTAGAACCCAACAATTTTTTTCCCTAAGTATAAAGATGGCTGTTTGCAGAAAGAAAGTACGGTGTATTGGTTTTAAAACCAATTACAAATATACTAAGTCACCTGTCATGCCAAACAGCTGGTTATGTGCTCCCTTCCACAGAGCTACATGACGGCACTTTATTTTAAATCCTTTAAACAAAATACATATGGCTGACTCAAAAATATCAGTTTCTGATCTAAAGAAAACTATATATTTTTGCATATATTTCTATATTTTCTCTCCTATTATGGAAACTAGAACACAAGAAAAAAACCATTGACTTTTAAAAAGTAGACACAAGCCCTCAAGAGTAACCTGTCAGGCACCATGAGAGTCTTTTGCAAACAGGAATGGTAAAATAGCCTTCAAACCTCGTTATTGGCTTGCTATTTAAAATGATCTGAGGTAATACAAGACTTGATAGAATTAAATCTTCTAAAGTAGTTGATGAATATATATGTGAACACCTAACACCTTGGGTGAGCTGTTTTTTTCCCTATGAGTATTTAAGACACAAAGAAGAATTATTGAAGCATGTACGTTTTACAAAACCAGAATCAAATTTGTTTTCCTATTTCCTACGATGATGGATTATGTAGTCATGGGGATATGCAGGGGGTATTGTTTCTCTATGTTTCCGACTGTGGACAGCTCAGGTGAAAGGGGTGAGGGAGGATAGATCCGGAAGAAAAGGCTAGGTGGATCAGGTCATCTTCCTCTCGCATGGGAATTTGGCTGTTCATATGTCCCCTCTTCTTGACTCTCATCACTCTAGAAAGAGGCGGGTGGGCTTAATTTATCTAACGAGAGGTGAGAGTCAGGAACATGAACTGGCCCCTGCACAGAAGTCAACACCAGCAGGGATACAAATGGAGCTCCTGCAAATGTGGCTCCACCTTGTCCCAGTAAGGAACACTTAAAAAATCTCCTAGCAAAGTCCCCAACTCCTGAGAGGCAGAGGGGAAGGGGATGCTTTGGGCAGTATTCAGGGAAAAAAAGGCACAGGGCTTTACTGGGCAGCAGCTGCAGCATGTGGCTGAAGAGGGGCTGGAGGAAGGGGCAGTGTGCTGGGGGGGTCTTTTGCTCCTTTACGTCAGCAAAATGTCACAGGGGCCTCCCACTTTGGATATATATTTTCAAAATCAGAATATTTGAGAAAGGCTGGGACCTTCTCAGATACTGGGAAAGTTGTGACACGTGCAAAAACTAGAATTAGAAACTGGAGAGAATGTCGAAGCTGGTCCCCAGGCACCACAGCTCAGGGTTTCCGGCCCCTGCAGGAAGGTTTTCTCAGATCATACTAGAATGGCTCTTTGGCCTCTCCCAAAGCTTCTGAACACTCATTCCCCACCTGTCAGGTCCTGCCCTGGAGAGCCTTGGCAGATGGCTTTGAAAGCAGTGGTCACCCCAAAGAGGAGCCCACAAAAGTCTGCTTTGATGGTCTGTCTTGTCCTCGATTTGGCAGTGGCCGGTCCTCAATATTCAAGCCCAGTAGGGAGGCGGGGTTGAATATATACCACACATATGCAACCTCCATGGGCAAGGCTGATCTCCCTGGCACTTAAGAACCACATATACCTGACAAGATGGCAGTTTAAAAGCAGAAGGTAACCTGGCAACAACTGAGAAATATTCTTACCAGCACTTAATTGCTTCAAAGGGACCCTTTTAACAAAGAAACTGGTTGGATTCTAGAACTAAATCAAGGGTTCTTTTGGGCCAAAAGGGAGAAGGATCAAAGTTTATGCAATTCACCCATATCCTTTCCATTTTCTTAATCATCATTAAAAAAAAAAAAAAAAAAGGAAAGGAAGGGAAGACAAAGACAAAAAAGAACCTTGGAGAGGTTTGACTGGAAGGGCAGAAAGAGTTAGAGGCCTACAGGCCTTTAGGTGTAAGTTTTCAAAGTGGGAGAATTGAAAAACAATCATACTACTGGCGGATTTTAGACATTCCATCTCTACCTCAACATATTTCACTTGGGGATATTTGTCTCCCTCTGAACCCTCAACTTAGCTTATAAATGGCACAGACTTATAGGACAAAATCCAGAATTCAGGAGATGAACATCAGGGGAGAATGTGGGGTGGGGTGATGCCAAGAGGATTGTCATCATTTCTTTAAAAATGACAAGTGACTATCAAGGAGTAAATTCTACCATGACCTGCCTGGGGTTTGACTGGGCCCCGCTGCAAACCCCAAGTCAAACTTAAGTTGAAATCCTTGTAAGTCTGTGCTCTTGCCTCTTCGTGGTCAGGTGGGGGTTCACACACACTGCTGTTTACACAGCAGTTGACATGACGATGAAAAGTCCCATCATCACCTCATAGATGCGACAGGCGAAAATGGAAATAGGGAAAATAGGGATGAGAGTCAGAGAAAGAAAATTCAAACCGATGTCTCTAGGCTCTGTAGAGAGCTGTCCGACTGTGGGAGCTGCGCTTGGTTGCAGTCCACCGCATTGTTGTTTGTATTGGCGTATGGAGTGACCTCACCATCCAACAGGAGCACCCCAGTCCCAAACTTAGAAGCCTTGTCAGGATTTTCCTCCTCTTCCTCATCCAGGAGTGGTGTTCGCGGCAACTCCTCATCTATGGCGAATTCAGGGTGGGTCATGAAGTTGTGGATGGAGTGTTGGCTGTAGGGTTTCTGAATGGTTTCGTGGAGGGAACTATGGAACGCTTTGACCACTTTGATCTATACCAGGGGAAGGAAAAGGAGGATGAGAAAATAGGGAGGTGAGAATTGGCTGGCAGAACAAGGAGATGGTGGTTTTAGGAGAGAAACAAAACCCAAACTATAGAACATGACTGCTCAGCAACCAAAACCAAACACACATCAGAGGAGATCATGGGGCACTAGAAACATCACACGGCTCAACTTTCAAGCAGTGGGGTGGGCTGGGGTGAGTGATGGCAAAGAACTAGGACGTTTTGAAAGCTGCATTTAAAGAAGTAGAAAACCCAAAGCAACGTTAGCATTCCCAAACAATCTACTTTTAAAATGAAACAGAAAACAAGAAGTTTCATTAGTTGTTTTAGATGGAGGGCATGGGAACTAGATGCAAATTGATAGCCAAACTTAAAAAGATGATTCAGACATGTGGATTTCTGTGCTGAGGCCAAACAATTTGTGAATGGGGAATGAAAAAATTATGCATTGAGGTTTAGTTATCTGTTTAAGGACCTCAAAGAGCCAGCATACACCAATCTGCACATAATACACGTTGGGTGACGAGTGACCACGAATACTGTGCAGCCAGGCAGACAAACCAATCTTCATTTGTGTCAGCAGCATGCAGGAACTTAAAACTCTCCAGTAATAATTGGCCCTTTCAGCCAGGAAACATGCATATTTTTACATCCCACGACCACCACTGTGTCCCCTCCCAGCAAATAACACAGAACTTCACTCCTTCAGCCCCTTCCCTAGAAGAAGTGGATAAAATACAGGTGTCAAAAGATGCTTTCCTCCTGCCTATTGAGAAAAGACCTGGCTCTCATGATTCAAATGCACGATCATGTCTCTGATACACAGCAACGGTGCCCAATCATGCTGCTTTCTCCAGCTGTTTCCAAATTGTGAAGAGGAGCATAGTCTTATGTGGAGAAGGAAATGAAAGGGACCAGTGAGAGAAACCTAACTCAGGAGGTGGTGCTACAAACAAGTGGCCTTTCTGATGGGGTGGATGAAGAGGATGATGGAAAGGAAACCATGTGCAGTTTGTGTGGTTTTACTGGGCAAAAGGAGATGCATTGCCCAGTGTCATAGTCTCTGTCCTACTGTGCAAAAAGGAAGGGATTCGGTCAGTTCAGAGTCATGAAGAAAAAACTGACAATAATTGATTCCTGTGAACAGCTTTTGCTTGTCCACAGGCACCAGCAATTTTGGCAGTTCTGCTTTTCTGAACTGTAGGTCCCTCTGAGGTGTGGCTTAGAATCAGTGTTGGTAGAATTGGGGTAGAGGGAGAGGGTTGGAGCTCCAAGAAGTTAGAGAGAGGGGCCAGGGGAAAGGTAAATGGTTATAGGACAGTTTTAGTTGTTGGAAGGTGGCTGATCCTAGTCTTGTCCCAAAAATCTTCACTCAGAAAAGAAATGGGAGTAATGTGGGGGAAATTGTTGAGGTTGGGGGGGTAGGAGTGATGAAGGTGGGAGTAAGGTACCTCTTTCATTCCTCTGCTGTTTAAGCAAAAAGTATATCCCAGGAGAATAGGCAAGAATTTGGAGACAGCAGAGGATACAAAGAGTCAGCCAAATAAACTGTTTGGATCACCTGTTTCAGTGCTTCCTACCACCATACAGAACTTTCATAAATACCACTCAAAGGCGGCTCACTATCAATACTGTTGGTCTATTTTCTCTGGAGGAGAATGTGTCTCTGCTGGCTAAGGCTTTCTTTATCTTGCCCCACTCTACTACAGCCCACCCGGGACTGAGGGTTCCCAAAGCTCAGAAGGCAAAGGACTCCTTGCCACTCAATAGCATCAGCTCGGTACCTCAGCTAAGAAGAATCAGGGAGCATAGGCACACACTCACCATGCTGAACAGAAAGTGAGGACCACATTTTTATTATCTGATTCCTATTTGACCATCTGATGGGGGAATTTTACCTGTCATGTTGCCTTTGCTCCAAATCTAGGTGAGATCAGATGGAATGGGGGCTCCATCTGGTCTTCAGGAAGTCTCAAGTTTTCATTGATCTACATAAAATCTCAGAGCAAGGCAATTTGGATTAAGTGAGTCCAAACCCAATGCCTTCTCCTTTGGCCCTGGCACAGATACACTGGCCAAGAGATGGGTCCAAAGCCATCCCACCCCATTCAAAGCCGTCACTGTCAGGAGTGATGACATTTTCCATATGCTTTCAAGATCTCAAAATTTCTACCAGCTATCACAGGAGGGCAGGTGCCTTTATCCACCAGTACATTATCTTCAATATCAGTGAGTTTCAACTTCCTGCTTCCATTCAATTGAATACTTTATTGAAAAAATTACATGTGAAGTCCACTATAGAAAATAAATTTGCAACAACTGGGGTTGGAGTGAGGGTCTGGAGCCCTGTTTGTTGGCTTTTCCTCTCACCTGTTGCGGTGACCAATAATACTGTTACAGGTAAACAATGAGGGAGATAAAAGTGAATTGGGGATGGGTAGATGGAAAAAATACGGGAAACATCTTTTGGGGAGCAAGAAACAGTCATCCAGCTAGACTGCAGGACTTCTGGAATCTAAAGGGAAACCAGCCACCTGTAAGGAAGCTCATGTGAAGAGGGGTCAGAGAGCTAGGGGTGACCAGCTGGCTTGCTGGGTGGAGAGAAGGGGGAGGGAGGAGAGGGCATGGGGCTGTGCCAGGATGCCCCAACTCCGGCACTGGCCTCAGAGAACACATGCTGATGAACAACCACACACCATATCACCACCAATCCACCCAGGGCTGGCATCTCCCTTTCCTGGAGCATGATGCCTGGTGCATGAGCAGTGTATGGGGACAAGACAGGGCTAGTGAAGTAGGTGCAGGGAAAGCTTTGAGCACTCTCCACACAGCCAGTCAACCCTTCCTTCCCTGGGCATTATTTCTCAAAACCTTGGGGAAATGTCTCTTCTAGGGCCCTGGCCTATAGGTGGAAGTGGCTGGTTGAAGGGCAACTCTTTTCATGACTCAGGAGACTGGGTATGAGTGCTGAGGGCTACTCTCTGCAGCTCAACGAGTGGGCGGGTGAAGACTCCATTTCCTCAGCCAGAATATTGCGTAGTTTTCTGCTCTTGTTTTTTTTGAGATGGAGTTTTGCTCTTGTTGCCCAAGCCGGAGTGCAATGGCGTGATCTCAGCTCACTGCAACCTCTGCCTCCCGAGTTCAAGCGATTCTCCTGCCTCAGCCTCCAGAGTAGCTGGGATTACAGGCGCCTGCCACCATGCCCAGCTATATTTTTTGTATTTTTAGTAGAAATGGGGTTTCACCATGTCATGCTGGCCAGGCTGGTCTCGAACTCCTGACCTCAAGTGATCCACCAGCCTCGGCCTCCCAAAGTGCTGGAATTACAGGCGTGAGCCACCACACCGGGCAGTTTTCTGCTCTTATCAGAAACCAGGAGAAAAGGATTAGGGCCTCCCTATGCAGGGAAATCTTAGAGATCTATCTAAAGAAGGTTGGACAAACAGTTGGTTTCATTTGGAGATCTGGAATGGGAAAGAGGGTTTTAAGATGTATGGCTATAACTTTTAGGAGCGCCAACTAAAAAAGGACAGCTGGAGAAAGAGCAGGTGTGGCCCGTCTCTCCTCTGATCTTCTGGTCTTTGAGGGTTTGGAGCACACCCTCTACCAGCTCCTCTACAAGATCCCAGTAGGCTCAGTCTTCTGCTTAGTCTCCTTCCACCATCAAACCATCAGGATATCTGACACTAACTCTTCCTACCAGAAAGGGATGATTAAAACAGAACAGAAGCTAGTTAGAAGGGGATGGCAGAACTAGAAGGAAAAAAGGAATTAAGAGAGGAATATGAAAGAACGGTTGCCAGAGGTTCCTGGATATTTGCAGGGCAAGACTTCGTTAGTTCTTTCTTGCCTGTTTTTTTGACCTAAAGAAATTGTATGTATCTCTATCAAGTCCCACCCCCATGAGAACACTTTGGCTAAAGAGACAAAACAAATCTAAGTCTGGTCAACCCGCATAGTCCGTGATCATGTGAACCACAGACAAGGCGACTGTTCTTTCTTCAGCCCCTTCCCAGAGGTGGGAGTGGGTGAGGTTGGGAATGGGGGAGGAAGGAACAGACTGACCACTCAGATATTTGAAACCCACATTATATTTAATACAGATAAACTCCTTCCCACATTATCAGCAAAGAGTTGGCTACCTTCTCTCTCCTCTCTGAGTCCCATTTGGGGAAGGGAAAATGACCAAGAATAGGAGGGCATAAGCATTAGCAAGAATCCAAGAATCTACCAATGGGAACACCAGCTCTTAGGTTGTGAGTTGATAACATTCCAATGGAAAGTCGGGCTGAGAAAGGGGTTCCTGAAACTTTATGCGCAAAAAAAGTGCCGGCTATTGGTGAAACAATCAAACTAGAGAAAAGGAGAAGCAAAATAAAAGGGACTCCTCTTCAGAAACTCCTAAAAGTTTAGTAAATGAAGAAAAAACGTTATTTTGACTCTTCTATATATTTCTCCCACCTTGATGTGAATTAATTGATTTTTTTTTCTTGAGACAGAGTCTTGCTTTGTCACCCAGGCTGGAGTGCAATGGTATGATCTTGGCTCACTGCAACCTCTGCCTCCCGGGTTCAAGTGATTCTCCCGCCTCAGCCTCCCAAGTAGCTGGGATTACAGGCACACATCATATTGCCCGGCTAATTTTTGCATTTTTGTAGAGACAGGGTTTCACCATGTTGGCCAGGTTGGTCTTGAACTCCTGACCTCAGGCGATCTGCCCACCTTGGCCTCCCAAAGTGCTGGGATTACAGGCAGGAGCCACCGCACCCAGCCAAGATTAACTGATTTTTAAACCGGAGTCCCTGAAAAGTAAAAAAATGGGGATATTCAACCATATACGTTTTGAACTGACCTACCTTCTTTTCTTCACCTATAGCTACAATTTTTTTTTTTTTTTGAGACAGAGTCTTGCTCTGTTGCCCAGGTTGGAGTGCAGTGGCACAATCTCGGCTCACTGCAACCTCTGCATCCTGAGTTCAAGTTGAT